AATAAGCCCCATCTCCAGTCAATTTACGTTATCTTTTTATTAATTACATCAATGATTCTAACCTACATCAGTACTGATCGTGATGCAGTAATAATCGTGACTCCTGCGCTTCCATTCTTTTTTTGTGCTGGGAATAATAACTTAACAAAGGTTGGAGAGAATGACTTATTTCCATAGTGAAAGCATTTGTTAGCCATGTCCGTTTCCAATAATTAGAGAAAATATCCGTATATATATATATATATATATATATATATATATATATATATATATATATTTATATGTATATCCATACACTGTGGTTTCTAGCAGATGGAAGGTAGAAGTGAGAAAGTAGTCAATTAATGAAAGATTTATTTCTTCTGAACGCGGGTGGACGATAAACCGGTAATTTGAGCTTTATATGCAAATTTCTGGTCTTCTCAATAACAGCAGCCAAGTGCCTGTGGCACACCATTGGCGACTCTTTGGGAAGTAATCACCTATTTTTTATTCAATACTCATGCAACATGAAAATGTTTTCAGCACCTAATTTCAAAATAAAAAAGAGCAGATTGGGTCCCTTTCACAAGAAGCACTAAGCTCAAATGATAATAATTTTGAAATTCTAAATGCAGCACTTCACTAGACTTTGACATATAGTAATAAGAATTTTCACAATTATAAACCAACAAGTGGATTTGGTCCACTGCCAATAAACAAAATGAAAAAGACATCTTATAAAATTAGAAACATGTTTCATAAGGGAACAATTTGCGATTCACTTGAAGACATTGCTAATGCACTCGCCAGGCAGATTCCATGTACAAGCAGCTCAGACCGCATTCCTGGCCATCACGGAATCGGCTGCACACTTTGCCACAGGAAACAACAATGAAGACCTAACAGAGGATGAGCTTCTTCGAACCCTAAACGCCTGTTGAGCAATGTCCCCAGGCACTGATAAGATTCGATTTGAGATTATAAAGCATCTTAGCTGTGACGCTTTGATTATGTTGCTTGAAGTGTACTATGAAATTTAGAAAAGCGACTTTTCCAAACTCGTGGCATTTTGCTCACATCATTCCCGTATTGAAAGGAGGGGGGGATCCCAGTAAGGTGCTTTTGCAAGGTTATGAATTGTATTGTTAAGAGACTATTGCCTTATCTAAATTCAAGAGATTTACTAGTTGACAAGCAGTGCGGCTTCCGAAAGGGATACCAAACTCTGATCAACTTGTTAAACTGTATATTCATGAGGCATTTGAATTAAGTGTTCTTAGATATAGAACAAAAAAACTCACTAAAACAGAAATACATCTCCTGTGACAAATTGAGGGAACCAACCTACAAATTATCAATAAACACAAAACCAAAGAAAATGGGACTGCTCACACAAAAGAAAAACATATACACACATATATATATACATACACATAAGTAAAAATATATATATGTGTGTATATATGTATTTATATATATATTACCAGCCAATTATTGTATACATATTTTTGAAACTGGTTTGGTACACACCATTACGAATAAGTGACGCACTGGCAGTGTTACTAAAAAGCCGCCAGTGTAAAAAAAAAAAAAAAAAGAAGAAAAAAAGATATATGTATATATATGTATGTATATATATATATATATATATATATATATATATATATATATATATATATGTATATATATGTATATATATATATGTATATATATGTATGTATATATATACATATATATACATATATATATCAACTCTAATTACACAAAGAATAATAACGATTAAACTGGATAGGTTAGAATTGTTCAAGTGCCTTCTTGATGATATTCCCTCGCCTGGGAGGAAAAGTTGAGTCAGTTATAATTATCATTATTGAAATAGTAGTTATCGCTGCAACTGTCATTGATTGCAGTAATAATAGTGAAAGTGAAGTAATCAAAAATTATACTTATACTCTTATGGTAAGCTAGTTTTCGTTTTCTAGAGAAATATAACTGATATTGTAACATATAACTGGTAATGCGACAGGGGATATTAAACAACACTAAAGGTAAGTAAAATTTTACGTCATCGTAGAGCATGTGCTGAACTTCAGGATATATACATATATCATTAAAGAATTGCGAAACCATTTAAAAGAAATTTTCTTTGAAAACCTCTTACTCATACCATTATATTCAATCCGGTTTTACATTTCGTCATTTAACATCTCTCTTCAATATCCTTTCGCACTTGCACTCATTTACTTTAGCTTCTCGCCCTTTCTCGCCTCCTCTACCCTGGGTAGAGGGAATGCAGGAGTAGACAAGTCTTCCCCAATTTCAGTCAAACCCCCCTCACCGCCTCCACCTTTGACTAACAGTCACAAGACTTGGACAGGACTTTAAGAATGTTCAGGGTTGTATTGCTCTTTCGAAGAATACTGAAAATCCCGACATTGCAATCCTCGGTCGTGATTCCCCGACCTGGGGGGCTGTAGAGATAAATTGAAAAGTGGAGTATGTATTTGCTTGTTGCAGA